TTGCTAATTATTTCAAAAATCATCTATCACGGAACACACAATTATTATACATTTTATGAAAGAGTGTTTTATCCCAAATCATTGGTATCATGTTTGTCTGGTATGTGTTCACGCTTGGATGAACAGGAGGCATTGTTTGCGAGAGTGCAAAAACCGACTTTCGCCAAAGTGAGGCCTACAGTATGTTGGGATTGGTGGAATGAGAGAATGAATTGAATGTATCAAATGAAATGCAATTGCATATGCTTTTTGCAGAAGTAAAGTCACATACACACACACACCCACGCGCACAAATGGTCGTTAATATTCTATATTCAATATTTGATATGTGTGGCATGAAGACCGAAATAACACCCGAATTCCAATTGTTTTATTCAAACATCACATAAGCAACTTTGGCGCAAGTCGTTTTTTGCACCCTCGCGAACAATGCCTCCTGTTCATCCATGTGTGAACACATACCACACAAAATGATACTAAATGATTCGGGATACAACACTTTTTCATTAGATGTATGATAATTTACTGTTCATAGATGAGTTTTAAATTAATTAGCAATTTTTAAGGTGTAAACTTTTTTGGACTCACACTGTATGTTAATATTTGGGTAGGAACTGATGTAGCAATACCATGTACACGTAAATTACTATATAGCTTTAATTTTACGTACTCACTCTTTATAAAAGATCCCGGTTTAGCTCCGAGCTAGGTCGGGGCTTTTTCTCCTTTAATTTGAGTTGCATACCATATGTTATTTTTCAGAAATATTTTTGCTTCGTTGTTTATATTTCTTCTCTTTTCTTTTTTGTTCTCTTCTCTCCCTTAGATTATATTGAGGCAGATGAAAATATGGCCAGTTTTCAAATTCCCCATGCTTTCACTTCAGAGGAGGGATCGCTCTCGTTTGGCCTTTACCAGGAATCTAGCCGTTTTTGGGATGTCAGTGTGACAGTAACAGTGTGCAAGAGCCAGGACCCTTCATCATTTAGCATCCCATTTGAAAGTGTTGTATATGAATATATACCGTATTCTTGTAGCGGGATCCAAGATATTGAGGTGCTAAAGAGATTTATTGATACTCTTTCACACAACATAATGTCGTTTTCACATGTGTCATCCATAGAATAGAGATGAGGATTTCTTGCCATGATCAAGTGGGGATGGGAAGGGGGGGGGGGGGGGGGGGGGGGGGGGGGGGGGGGGAGGAGGCAGTCGACAAAGCATTACTTTTGCGCCAGGTATTATGCGGTATTTTGATCCCCCCCCCCCTATTTAAACACATACACATTCACACAAATAGTGCACATTCCTCCACAAAACAAATAATTTGTGTTATGTAAATATAAGTTTGTATTGGTGTACTTCTAACAGATAAATCCATGTCCCATCAGGTATGCGTACCCCTTCTCTCTCTCTCTCTCTCTCTCTCTCTCCCTCTCTCCCTCTCTATTTCTCTTTCTCTCTCTTCTCTGTATTGGGATAGGCAATGTTAAATCAAAACTAAAATGTCTCATGGCGACTGTTGAATATAAGGCAGGCCGCCCTTATTGTACATCTTCTCAAAACAAACTGAAATTTAAATAAAATGTGTCGTAGGTCGAGCCATCCTCTTGAAATTAAGCATTCTTTAGGTGTTTTAAATAGTAAATAGACCCTGTCTACATTATAGCGGCATTTTACAGATCTTTCCACTTATTTCTAAAAAGGAACGATATAATGTAAGAAAGTGTGGCTTCATAGGCTAATGAAATCTGTACTGTATAATCTCTAATGCCTGGATTACATTTGCCCGAGGCACCGTACGATGATTAGTCTACGATTGTCTGTGCGATTTTGGGGGCATCGTATGAGGCTACGTCGGGCTATGATGTTTGTGTTTACATTATTCACGAGCATCGTGCCATTTCTTGTATTGACCCTCGGGGGGGGGGGGGGGGGCTGGCCGGGACAAATCTGTACAGAGGCTGCTCGGAGATTGTACGGATATCGTGCAATTTCTATGCAATATCCGTGTTGGCTCCGTAGCCACCGCACGGAGCTTGTGCAGCTTATGTGCAAAGGTTACGCGAAAACGGCGCGGTGACCGTGCAGCCGCCGTGGCTTTTTAAGCGTTTTTTGGCTCCATGTTCACCGAAAAATCGTGCGTTTGCTGCACGATCAGCGCGAGTCCTCCGCACGATAAAAATGCGGGGATTTTGGAATGACACCTACGCTACGACATGTCTACGGACTACGGGCTTACGATTTTTCAGATTTGTATAACTTTCTCCGAAACAAAATCGAAGAGGCCGCAGAGCCCCACGGAGCCCGTGAATCCGTACGAAATTCTCACGGCCGCCCCCTGCCTCCGCACGGAAAAGGGGATACGGGCGGAATACGGGCTCCGTAGACTAATCGCAGACCAAATGTAATCCAGGCATTAAGCGGCTTTCAAGTATACACTCCCGGGCGCCGTAAAATATGTGACCACACTTGCCGTATACATGAAAATCAGATGGGTCACGTAGTGCACGTAATAATTATAATGAAATATTTTTCCCTACAATTTCCCTCAAAACCTGTTTAAGGGAAACATTTGAAGAATCAAAATGAAACGTCATTCTTTGCCACGCCCCTCTTAATCTTTACCCTCCTTGATCACCGACAATTTGTAGTAAGAATATAATGTCAAACAGTTATTCTCGTTGAAAGATAACAAAAAGCACTTTTGTCTGGACCTTATTTAAGAATCATGTCTGTACCCCCCCCCCCCCTCTCACCCTTTTGACAAGTTAAATGCATTTGCTTTAGCTATACGAATACCGGATGTATGAATTAATTTGTTTGTGGTATGAATATTTCATAACGAAATGTCATTTTATAAACAAAAACAAATTTGACCGGCAAGCCAGCCAACAGTATGTTTGTAGTGCTTGAACAATACCCATGAAGTTAAATGGCATTAAAATCTGACCATCTTAAAATCTTAAAATACGACGTTCCTTATCCTTACTCCGTGCGTACACCAATATTTATTTATTATACGATTTATACTTATAGTATTGCGACGTTAAACGAAATCAATATATTTGCGCTTGAATGATCTGTAAAATCTTCAAAATCGAGTTAAATTGTAAAAACAAAACAAAATCATCATTAATTTGAAATAATTATTTTTTCTTTATTTTGCGTACTTCCAACTATACATGTTATTTCAGGATTATCATCGTCATTTTCCATTTCTGAAGTAGACGAAAATGTCCCTCAAGGCAATACTATTACCTATCATATTCTCTACCTCATAATTAATGATAGATATTTTAAGGCTAAACTGTCATGACCGTCACAATATTTTATTTCAGTAAATCAATTAAAATCTGCATTTATTTTATACCCGTTTATTTAGGTAAAATTCACCGAGTCAAGCTCACAATTTAGATCGATCAAGGTTTTTGATATCCAGCTTTATGAAATATCGGGTCCTTCCACAGGTAAATTAAGTTTTGACATGAAATTACATGATAAAGAAATCTAGCTTACATCATTATCATTCTATTCATATGATTATTCATTTCATTAATAATATTATTACTATTATTAAAGATATTATTATCATTATTACTTTTGTTATTATCATTATAATAATAATAATTATCATTATTAGTAGCAATAGTATAATTATATAAGTTTTTATTTCTGTTGTTGTTTTGGTATTGCTGCTATTATTATCATTATTTTCTAGATGTAGGACAAAATTGCATGTAATTGGCAAATGAGCATTCTTATGCCATGATAATGTACAATAGTATAACTTTGTACACACTCCCAAATCAATTTAATAATTTATTTTCAGGTAGTTTTATGTTTACTTAAGCATAATTTTAATCAATGGCCTGCCCCCACCCACCCATACATAGAAACATAGAAAGGCACAACAGATACAATACCCATACATAATAATACTTTTAAGTAAATCGTATAGGAGCCCCTCCCTCCAAACCCTCCATACACAGGAAGGGCATATATTCTGTCGCGAAACATCATGGAAAGACTGGAAACAGCTAGGAATCATTTTGCAAACATTGTCACATTATGAGACTAGTTAACCTTTAACAGTAGACTGTTGTATTAAACAGAGATCTGCATGTACCTATAATTCGGTTACATTTTTACAATGAGATATTTAACGGCAAAAACAATAATACAACTTAAAGGACTCGCGTAATTGTAGAGAAGCATGGCTATGTAATGATATGTAGAGCACGAAATTGAAATGCATTAAATAACTATACTGTAATATCCTCGCCCGGATCTCAACCAACGGATATATTAACTCAAGGCTCAGGTGAATAGTATGATTAGACTCAGATGATTATATGGAATGGAAATATCACCATAATTGGGTGACGATTTATGTTGGGTTTTCTGTAAATACATCTATGCCTCTTTAAAGCTGTTATATAACGTATACGTATAGTTACTGGCAGGAACTGAAATGGAAATGGATATGAATAATGGTTTCGTTTGTGTAGGGAGACACAGCGACTTCAATTGGAAGCAGTCAATATATGTCTCTGAAAATTGAAAAACAATAGCGTTGGGTTGGACTTTGATTTCTCACACATTGTATTCTGACCAATATTTATGTAATGAATCTTTACCTATCCTGATGTTTATTTGCTGAGCAAATGCGAAGGAATAGATCAAAGATGTTGCCCCTAGAATTATTTTTCTGTCTTACTAATTTATTTAAAGTGCCACGTCATATTCATTGCATTGCATCGTTCAAATGAAATTTCATTTACTTGTAACCGGTTAAAAAGATCAGGATTTGTTCACATCTGTGACAACTTATTTGTAGAATTAATCTTACATCGTTTATCTTCACGTCAAATCTTTCTATGGTGATTTTTTATATTTCAACGTATATAATAGGTAGAAAGTATAAAAAGTGCTATTTTGAGAAGTAGAACAAGAAGATACGTGATGCATATATTATTTTATTTACCATCTTATAGGAGGCTCCAAATCATCTTTAATTCCAGCATTGTCTTCGACCATTGTGTTAATCCTGATCACCATGGTTATCATAACTGTCTTTGTGTTTATGCGTAGAAGGTATGTAATATGGTTCATACAAATACAAAAGAGGAAATATTAACAAAAATCAAAAACATTAGCCTTGTAAATAACTATTTCAACTGATAAAAACAACAGTTGTCAAAATTTAACAATTCTTAAATCTAAAGAAATGTTGATAATTTACGATTCACGTTGATGACTTACGATTCACAAGTCATTTCTACAAAGATATAAATTGTAGAGAGTAGCAGCGATTTTAACGGTATAACAACCATAATTAATAATGTATTCATGTATTTAGAATGTGGACCGCATATCTCAAAAGTATGGGAAACAAAGATGAGGGAAGGAAAATAAAACAAAATGTGTCAAGAGATTTTTTTTTTAATAATCAAGACGAATTGTAAGGGGGGAAAACAGGGATATACAAAGAGATAGGTAGAGAAAAATCATACAGGGAAAATAGAGAACGTTGGTCTCGTTGGCTGTTGGTATTCGGAACGATGTAAAATGACAAGGAGGCATACGAGTCAGACACTAAACCGTAGCGATCAACGTCCTATGAAACCGAACACGTCTATCTTTCTCTTCAGTCTTGTGGTTCTTAAAGTCACTTTTAAGGGGGTATTAGACCGAAAGGCTAGAGATCCACATTTTCGGTCAGGTTATCTATCGAGAAGGTGACAAGAAGACCAATGAGACTAATATTGTTGGTCTAGCTGGCTATGATATCCATGTATACGGTCCGTGATCGTAGATTGTCTATCAGTGACTTATCCAATGCAACATTGTCTTTAACAGATCCCGAGACCCGAAGGTGACTGAGCCAGTGGATGAAGATGACGATGACCCTAATTTGTACAACAACCCAGTCTATTGTTCTAAAGATGACGGCCTTCCTGTTCCAGATCTTATAGTCAGTACTAACTCCCATATCAGCAGTTCTTCCCAGGCACGGCAACCATTAAATGACATAGACAATCAGTATGAAGAGTGTGAAGGCGATCGTCACCCTGTAACCAACGCAGATGGTTATTTATCACACCATGATGCCCTTAGCGACACCCATAGTTTGCCCCAAAAAGATCTGCAGAATGGTGGAAAACAGGGACAATTAGATGGTCCTGCTGTTCTCGACGATGAGGAGGAGTACAATGCGCTTACTTTCAATCAATCGTCAGATATCACGCGGGCGCTGAAGAAACCAACGTCTGGTGGTGAAGGTGTGAACAATGGATATGGTGTCTTGGACCTGCCAGAACAGGAAGACTCCAAACTGTCTGTCAACTCTCCCCAACTTCATGCAGGACCAGGACCTAAGACAGGACCATACGAAAGGGATCAACCGGGTGATGAATCAGAATACCATAGCTACCAAGACCCGATGGAAATGAACCAGGATGGATCTGCTCGCACACCTACAGAGCTGGATGTCTTCTCAAGTGACAATTACAATATTCTCAATTCTGGGAAAGAAGTTGGAGATTACCATGTCTACCAAGCGACGGATGATACTGGTGGGGATGAAGGGAATTACGAAGATTTAGACGCCAAGATGAGCCGTGAGGATGAATATTCCGAGATAGATCAGAGCCAAAACCACGCACCCGGGACAACAGATAAGGCCACTTTCGAACCGATATACAGCGATGAAGTGTATTCGGAATTTCAGGGAAATTAGGGCAGCCATTAACTAACACTTTTGTATGTATGTAGACGCGCTGTGATGACATGCGTTATCATTAACACTTACATGATAAACAAGCGAGTGATAGGCTACTACAATATGTTTCCCGTCTGGATATACAAGCTTTGTACATATAGCAGTAAACTAAGAGTTATGAAATGTACACTTTATCATATGCCCTATTTCACGTAAATCATTCAGGGCTATAGCGATTTACATGAAACAGAATATGTCCGATGCGGAGTGTCCATAAATATTTTCCTATACGTGCGAATATTGTCAGCTTAATAATACCGAATGTGAAAATGGATGTATGCGAGTGAGCGTGTGTGCTTGTGTATGTGTGATTTGGTGGGTTATGGATGGTTTGTACGAGGGAAAATATGCAGCATCCTTCCTTTGTGAGAAAAATATTAATTCTGAGAAAAAATATTTAAGTAGAAGGCTTTTCATATGAGTGATACACTATCCTGTATTATAACAACAGACTATTATGCACTCAGTATTGTGTTAGTATGTATCTGGTGCGGTCGCATTTCTCTTACATTTCCAAGTACCCTGATTACCTTTATTGCAAGGAAATGAATTTACTATGCTGTACAGAAATGCAACGACATTCTAATTGTATAAATAAATTTAATTATTTCAATTTTTCATTTCTAAAACAACTTACAATGACGATTTTGAGGCGTTGTTCATTCGGTGCTCTAATTTCCATCACAACAATGTTCCTATTCATCGTTTATTCAACATTATCCTAATGGCACCCGGCATGGCACAGTGAATGATGAAAAATGAAAATCGGACCAACAGTTACAAGGTCGCGTGACCTTTTGTCTTTGCATGTCAGCCCGAAAATCGCTAGTTTTTGTGATTTGTGTACAAAACATATCGAAATGTCATTTTTCCTAACAATAGATGAAGCATTGGTTATTGGGTCTTGTTTAAAGTTTAGGTGGTTGATTTGGGAGTCAAAATAGTTGAATTGTAGTAAGAAATGAAATAAAACAACAAAAACAGTAAAATACATAAGTTAAAAAACAATGAAATACATAACAAATTATCAAAACAAGAGGAACCATAAGGAATAAGCTGGCTCTTCCAATTTTGGGGTATTTTTTTTATTCCAAATGGTCTAATAAACATATGTAGTGAAACAGAATGCTTAAATATGAATAACATATGATTTATGGGTAAAAATGTGATTTTATGACCTTATTTGCATAAATTACCATAAATATATAAATAAGTAAATTTTTCAAAAAATTGAAATCATCATATTATTCTATACTCTTCACTTGACATGCGTGCAAATTTTCGCGGAGATCGGCCTCTTCACGGCCGAGATCTTAAGGGGGGCTTAAAGCCCCCCCCCCCCCCCCCCAGGCCATACTAAGACCTCGAATAGCCCGGCCTTTTTAGAGTTAAAAATAGCTTGTACGGGCTTGCATTTTCTCTGAAAGAGGAATAGCAAACGCTTCATCGAAACTACACTGCACAATAAAAACTGCATGTTAGAACTTCCTCATAAACCTATCTACAAAGGGGAAAATGCGATGAAAAATTGAAAGTCCCGACAAAAAACGTCATCCGCTAAAAAAAATTTGTAAACCTTGATGTAACCTTCACATATTTTATGTTCGATGCATATTTCATTCGGAAAGTGAAAGTTGTTTAATCAAGCTAAGCCTTTTGGAAACGAAAGCAGGAAATTGTCCAACCATAAAAATGTATCAAATATCAGTTTTCTTTCATACCAAATTCGCAACAAAGGAAATTAATACCAATATTCGCTATTATATTTCACAAACAAATAATCTTGCGCTACGATTAGTCTAATAGTAAATCACGTGATGAAAGATAGTTCGCCCCGGGTTGAGATTCGAACCCTTATTCCTTGGACTGAACACCTGCCATCAGAACATGCATGAAATAGTCCCTATAATGTCAAGCATTTTTATTTTTGTTAAATGTCGTTAATTACAGCGTGGATTTACAACTTTCAATATCATGACTGCGAAATTTCCCAAAGCTCAGCAGACGATACATAGTGGTCAGTTACCACCAAAGGTAGATGACCTACGTCAAATGAAATGAATTTACTTATCATTTCCAAGTTTTGCCTTAATAATTATTTGTAAGAGTGTAATTTTTCATTGTTTACATGTATTTTTCTCTTTTTGTTTTGGAGGGAGTGGGTCTAAATCTATATTATTTCAATCACTGACTTCGAAGAAATGATAATAAATCATTCAGTCAATCTATGAATCAACCACCATTTACGATAGACAGTAAAAAAAAAATGGCTTAAACAATATTTGTTCCAATGTAACTGAGTGAAAAACCTCAAATTTAATATACTTCCTACTGGAAATGGGTACTTCATGTATTAAGTCTATGATAGAGAAATTCAGTAGTCAACGGGTTAAACGAGCTTTCTCACTCAACCAGAAATTGTTGATGGGTTAGACCAGGAAATGCAGAGATCAAAGCCTGTTTTTCATTAGTTGTAAAGTTTACTGCATTTTCACGGCATCCACTTGGCTGATACCAGCCAGAGTAAATATTTGTCAAGTGTTGATTTCCCACCCTTTCAAAAATATCTTCTTTTTTTTTCGTCGTTAAAGAGAGAGAGATATATATATGTAGGCTACTACAACATGTTTCCCTTGTGGATATACAAGCTTTGTACATATAGCAGTAAACTAAGAGTTATGAAATATACACTTTATCATAGGCCCTATTTCACGTAAATCATTCAGGACTAGCGATTGACATGAAACAGAATATGCCTGGTGCGGAGTGTCCATAAATATTTTCCTATACGTGCGAATACTGTCAGCTTATGTATATCGAATGTGAAGGTGGATGTATGCGAGTGAGCGTGTGTACTTGTGTATGTGTGATTTGGTGGGTTGTGGATGGTTTGTAGGAGGGAAAATATGCAGCATCCTTCCTTTGTGAGAAAAATATTAATTCTGAGAAAAAATATTTAAGTAGAAGGCTTTTCATATGAGTGATACACTATCCTGTATTATAACAACAGACTTTTATGCACTCAGTATTGTGTTAGCATGTATCTGGTGCGGACGCATTTCTCTTACATTTTAAAGTACCCTGATTACCTTTATTGCAAGGATATTACTACCTAAAGGTATTTACTATGCTGTACAGAAATGCAACGACATTCTAATTGTATATAGGATTTTAATTATTTCAATTTTTCATTTCTAAAACAACTTACAATGACGATTTTGAGGCGTTGTTCATTCGGTGCTCTAATTTCTATCACAACAATGTTCCTATTCATCGTTTATTCAACATTATCATAATGGCACCCGGCATGGCACAGTGAATGATCGTATTGGATAAAGCCATTTCGCATTTGTGCTTTTATTACACTGTAGGCAGTTTCACGGGGACGGGCAGGAGCGTCATGGGGAGGGAATGTTGTGCCTTTTAAATCTCGTAGCATGCACTGTCAAATCTGACAATAGTCAGACCATTTGTTTATTGCCCTTAGCGAACTTGAAAATTTGATCATTGTGGGGGCAACGCGAAGAAGAGTGACATCAATATGACACGTTATCAACTCAATGTTTCCTTACCTAAGGATCGGTAGCGATACAAATAATAAACTTTATAATGAAATATATCCTGATACAAACGTGTGTATATACATTGTAATTATTGCAGGAGTAATGGTTATATTCGAAATGAAGTTCTTGAAATTTATTTAAAATTCTTAATGTCTGCAATTCATTATCATAAATCGTTGTAATAATGGTTGTGATGTAATAAATAATTACTTTTTATCAGCTACTGAGTATGAATATGAGTATAGTTCTGATGTTGAAAGTTCTTCACCTAAAGGAAAGTTATACAACTTTTGTCTATTGACCTTTTACCCATATCTGAAAAGTAACAATACAATAACACCAATCACAAGGACGTACTAGATCCTCCCACACCGTTAAAACACATCAGGAACTCTACCTTTTTTGGATAGAAGTATTCATAATCACACAATTTGTATTAAACGGAATCGTTTTAATATTTGCACATCGCAACAAGCAACCGATACGAGACTAAATCAACTCAATAATCTTGCCACGAAAGAGTGGTGAACCATGGAACGAGGCTGAGGCCTAGAATGACGTCATTTTAATACCGTATTCTAATTTAGTTTCACCTCGTTACTTTGAAACCCCTCCTATTGTGAATACAAGTACAACATTTTTTCTATTAACAGTCCATTTAAAAATCCTCTTAACTGATATATAACAAATATGTGCATGTGTGTGTTTTTGCGTATGTGTGTGTGTGTCTATGCGTCCCACACCTAACATTTCAATTCTTCTAGCAGTCCCTTCAGTCGCAAAGACTGGGCTACTATTGCAAATGAGGACACCAACCAACTATTAACTGTTTAACCCGTTGCCTACTGAATTTCCATTCCAAAAGTCTTTTATCAAGTAAGAACAATTAAGCAAGATATGATATTCTCAAAATGTAAACAACCTGATAAATTGCAATTATTCTGTTTTATCCTTGACTGTTGTTGCAAGTCTATCTTCTTCTTTTTTCAGTCACATTTCAGATATGTATATTAATATGTAATTCAAAAAGTATTTTCGAATGATATTAACAAAGTCCTTTGTAATTACTTGATAGCATACAAATGCAGGACCAATGCACAGATTTGTCTGAATCTTCTTGGTTTAAAATGTATTTGTAACAAGTTGAAATCTCCTTTCAACTTCCTGTATTTCAACCAACCCTCTTTTTTTCTCCCTCCCCCTCTTTCCTTCTAACTGTATCTCTCTCTATATTTCTCTCCCAATCTCTCTCTCTCTCTCTCTCTCTTTGTTCTTTTCCAAACTTGTATATCTTACATCCTCCTCTTTACTTGTTGGTATCAACATGATACGCTATTGTGATTGTGTATACGCTTTTATAACGTGCATTTATGATTGGGTATTCATAATATATATGCATAATGTTTCATTGTTGGGTCTCCTAATGAAAAACAGCTTTTATTAATCTTGTTTTATCCTGAATATATGTCCCAAAAAATCAATGAACCAATCAATAAATCAATCAATAAGTAACTAAATAAATATACACATAAATAAATATGTTGTATAATTATTGTCACCGCGCTTTAGTATAAAACTAATAACGGATACAAGCGATAATTTTCATTTGAATAGTTCCGAAACCTTAACAATTTCATCATTCTTGTATTGTCAAAAATGCAACGTGTATACAACCATAAACACCCATTCGTTGATTTGAGGGGTATTGAACTTTAGATATTAGTGTTTTAAGACGGGGGGGGGGGGGCTCGCAAACCGAACAAGTAGCATATGTTTAACCTGTGGTCTACTGAATTTACACATAACCCTATCTTTAGTACAGCTACAGTTGAAAATGGGTTGGATGAAATTAATCAGACATACTGGTTGTGGAATTTATAAATGCTCATATAAATTCATGAACCTACAAACTACTTCATTTCGTTTTGGAATACCGGTTTTGGAAAATTGTCCCAAATGATTCGCCCCCCCCCCCCCGCCCCTCCTCCATCGTCTGTATTGTACAAGGCAGAATGAAGTAATATAATATACTTTCTAATCATGTGCATTTGAAGACGAGGGAGGGCGTGTGTTTGTGTATAGAGGCAGAGCCAACTATACCAAGAGTTTGGCTAACTTGTTTCAATTTGGTCACAAGGTGGCGTATATTATTTTGATTTTTTTTTGCCTGCCCAACAATGCTCTTCTTGCCATGTTACGTCCAACGCGTACCAGATTGGCTAAACGGTCCTAATCAATGCA